ATCAACCAATAACAAATGCTGGCGGGGTTGTGGGGAGAAAGGAACCCTTCTCCATTGTTGGTGGGAGTGCAGAATGGTGCAAGCACTGTGGAAATCAGTATGGAGATACCTCAAAGAATTAGACTTAGGGGTCCCATTTGACCCAGCTATCCCCCTGCTAGGTATCTTCCCAAAACAATTAAAAGAATCATACCATAGTGATATATGTGCACCCATGTTTATAGCGGCACAGTTCGTAATAGCGAAAGCTTGGAAACAGCCCAAGTGCCCATCAACTGAAAACTGGATAAAGAAGATGTGGGTTTTTAATAAAATGGAGTACTACTCAGCCATAAAGAACGAGAAACTAGAGACATTTGTAGTTAAATGGATGCATATTGAGGTCATCCTCTTAAGTGAAATAAATGGGACATGTATGTGTAAATACTGAATAGTTTCTCTAGTGTGAGAAACTGAAAGTGTAAATAAGGATTAAAAAGAACGATTCATAATTTGAAATAGGAAAAGGCCCAAAGGTGTAGGGGTGGTGGGAGGGGTGGGGGACAGGGAAGAAGGGAAAGAAAAAATTATGAGAAAAAAATGGAAGTGCAGTTTATGTGGTTGGGGAAGGATGGAGGGGGTGAAGGGCGTACAGGCAATGGGGAAAACAATGGGAACCAAGATACATCATGTACAGGTACGAGCACCCAATGATAAATGTAAATGTATTGTATACCTAAAATGTACCAATAAAAGAAAATAAAACACACACACAAAAAAGAAAAAGACAAGGAAGATCACAACTCCAAGAGGTCCAAAAGAGGGAAGCCACCAGGCAAGGTAAGAAACTAAAGGGAAATAGAAGAAAAGAAAAAAAGAGCCACCAATAGTAAAACATCATGACAAGGATGAGTCAATATCTATCATTTATAACTATCAGTGTTCTTTTTTTTTTTGGTACCAGGGATTGAACTTGGGATCTTGAGCTTACAAGGCAGGCACTGGAACCACTGAGCTAAATCCCCAGCCCCATAACTATCAGTGTTAATGGTCTCAATTCACCAATCAAAAGAGACTGACAGAATGGATTAAGAAGCAAACTCCAACAATAT